AGCTGTCTTCCCCTCCTATTTACAAAACACTTGTTTCCATTTTTTCTTCCATTTTCTTTTTTCCCTTTTCTCGGCCTTCTCTTTCCCCTCCCCACCTCCTTGTTCCCCTTCTCATTTAAACTTGCTCTTCCTTCTTCTTCTTATTTATCCTCCTTTCCCCACCTCATTTCCTCTTTGGATTTCTCACTCAAGAAAAACAGCGCAATTTTTAAGCTTGTGTGTCTAATTTATTATTTAATATTATAGTCTTGAGGTTCATCTATTTTCCTACAAATGACTCAAGCTTATCCTTCTTTATAGCAGAGTAGTACTCCATTGTATATAAATACAATATTTTCTATATCCATTCACCTGTTGATGGGAATATATGCTATTTCCAATATTTAACTATGATAAACTGTGCTTCTATAAACATAAATGTGTATATATTGCTGTGGTATGATGCTTTTAATTCTTTCCAGAAAACACCAAGGGGAATAGCAGGGTCAAATGGAACCTGGTGTGCTAATTTTTTGAGGAATCTCTGTACTGGGTGTTGGATTTTATCAAATGCCATTTCTGCATCTATTGAGATGATCATGTGGTTTCTGTCCTCACTTCTGTTAATGTAGTATATTACATTTATTGATTTGCATTTTAAAAATTTTTTTTTCTTTTTATTGAGTTTATTGGTACAATCTAGGTCTACATTTGCAGATGTCAAACCATTCCTGCATCCCTGGGATGAATCCTATTTGGTCATAGTGTATAATCTTCTTGACAATTTGCTGAATTCTGTTTGCCAGTATTTTATTAAGGACTTTTGCATCTATTTTCATTAAGGAAATGGCCCTGAAATTCTCTTTCTTTGTTGGATCCTTCTCTGATTATGGTGTCAAGCTAATGCTTACTTCCAGGAATAAGTTGGGAGTATTGCTTCCTTTTTAATCTCCCTGAAGAGTTTGAGGACTGGTTGCATTAGATCTTCTCTAAAGTTCATGTAGAATTCAGCACACTGTGTCCATTGGGACATGGGTTTTTTTGTGGTAGGTTTTTTTTTTTTTTTTTTACTGGGGATTGAACTCGGGTCCTAGGCAGGCCACCGAACTGCTGAGCTAAACCCCTGGCCCCTGTGGTAGGTTTTTAATTACATCTTTAATTTCATTGATTGATATTGGATTATTACAAGCTTTATATTTTCTTGATTCAGCATTTGTAATTTGTATGTATCTAGGAATCTGTCAATTTTTCTGAGTTTTCCATCTTTCAATGGACTTTATAATCTCCTGGGTATCTGATTGAATCCCTTTTTTATGAAGTCCAGGTCTTTCCTATGTTGGGTATTCATGGTTTCCATTATTTTCCTAAGCTATTCTGTTTTTATCTGTATCTACTCTAGATTTACTGATCATGTCCATCCTTATGGTCATCATGTCTTTAGTTATCTGTGTAGTTATATTTGATTTGTTTTTTCTAGAGATTCATTCATTTGCATTGTTATTTCCACTGCTACTATTTCAGAAAGTTCAACTGAGTGGCTTTTAATTTCTTCCCCTTCAAGGCCCCCTGGATTTACCTTGGGTGAGTTAGCGGTCTGGGGTTGCATCTTGCTTCCATGTTTTCTATTTTTTATTTGCTTTCTGCATTGATGATTATACATTGCTTATAGTAGGTAGTTTTATTACTAGTACTGAGACCACTTTTGGAAGTGATTACTTTTCAGAGATGTCTTGTTGGCATAGCTGGTGTTTGGCTTTTAAGTCTCTCCCCAGGTCCTACCTCTTCAATTTATTAGTAAAGAAAGGTTTTTGCCTGTTTGGCCTAGCACCCAATTCTTTGGCACTGGCCTGTGGTGTTGTCTCTGATGCCCAGACAATCTCAATATTGGCATTCAAGGAAGAACAAGTGACCACAACAACTACGTCACCTTGGCTAAAGTAGTACAATCAGTTATAACAACAGCATCAAGAACAGTGTTAAAAATGGCAACCTGTGACAACTATTAATTTGCCACCTTTAATAATAGGTACAGAATTTATAGGCACATAATGAAATCTAAAGAAAATCAGAACATTATGTGCAGTAAATATCCACTCAATAGAGTGATTTTACCCTTAGGGAAGAACATTTAAAAGAGATAAGAGGAAAAATAGAAAAATAAAAAAAGAGAAAGAGATTAAAAGTAAGGCTGATGGACAAAGAAAAATTACCAAGCTTCAAGACACTGGTGAAGAAGACAGGAGGGAAAGAAAGAAGATAAAAACAAAATAACAAAACCAAAAACTAAAAACAATTTCACACATATAAAAACAAAAACAAGGAAAACAATATTCTCTATGGTTTCCAGCCTGTGGTTATCTTCTAGGATCTACAGTGTTGTGGTACTGTCCAATTCAGGGTGTGACTCTGCTGTCACTAGTAAACAGAGGATGCCGTCAGAGCCCCACTTTGTGCTAGATGATCCCAGCAAGGCTGCAATAGTATTAGAGGAGGGTGCTGATTTTGGTGCTTTCAACACCACAGAAGTTCAGACTGACCCTGGCTTCTGGTTGTGACATTGGGGCCTGAGTTGCTCAGCCTACAGCACTTTGGATGTCTCTTGCCAACTTGGCAATAGTCTCCCTCAGTTGTCCTTCACACAGTCACTGTGGGATTTTAATACTAGGAACCCTGAGATGAAGCCAACCCATGGCTACTCCAAGCCCTGGGTTCAATTAGCTCCTTCCTAACATGGCATCCAGTCAATCCCCAATTAGAGGACTAATATCTATCTTTACAATATTTTTTATACCGGGGATTGAACTCAGGATGTTGTGCTTGCCAGGCAGGCAGTGAAACCACTGAGCTAAATTCCCAGCCCTTAGAGGACTAATATCTAGAATATATAAAGAACTCAAAAAACTTGACACCAAAACAAACAAACAAAAAACCCAAGGTCCCAATTAATAAATGGGCAAACGAATAAAACACATTTCTCAAAAGAAGTATACATGGCCAAAAGTATGTACAACATTGTTAGCCATTGGGGAAATGCAGATGAAAACTATTGAGAGTTCATCTACCCAAGTAAGAATTGCTACCATAAAGAATAGAACAGATAACAAATGATAGGCAAGGTGTGTGGGTAAAGGAAACTTCCATCCTGCTGGAGGAATGTGAGTTATTACAGTTACTACAGAAATAGGTATGGTGATAAAAACTACCACTTGACCCAACTATACCTGTCTTTGGTATACAACCACAGCAATCAAAGTCACTATAATACAGGGATGCCTGCCTACCCAGGTTTATTACGGTACAATTCATAAGAGCCAAGGCAAGAGACCAGCACAGATAGCCATCAACAGATAAGTGGACAAAAATGTGCTATGTAATCTATGATATCATAGATGATAAATATGATGTATGGAGCACTTAGCCACAGAGAATGAAATTTTATAATTTTCAAGAAAATGGATGGATCTGGAGACCATCATATTGCGCAACATAAGTCCATTGCAGAAAGACAAATGTTGTATGTTCTCCCTTATATGTTGAATCTAAAAATAGTGACAAGAAAGTAGGAGGGGCCAGGGATTCAGCTCAGTGGTGCCACTGCCTGCCTTGCAAGTGGGAGGTCCCAAGTTCAATCCCCAATACAAAAAAAAAAATAAAAAAAGTTTTTATGTGACCAAAGAAAGTAGAAGAGAGACTATTATTAACAAGAAGGGAATAAAAGGGAATGGGAGTGGATACCAGAACAGGAAGTAGAGGGATGGATATGAACGACATTGTACACAAAAACATCTTTAAAAATGTGAAAGTAGAGAAGACAGGGCAGAAGGGATGCTGGAGGGGCAGCTATGAGCAGAGTACGTTACATGCACAAACCAATCTGCCAAATGAAACCAATCTGTACAGCCACATGAAAAATGAGTGGGAAAAAATCTGCCCAAGCATCCCACGCCATTTGTCAAACTAGTTTGAAAATATTTATGGACCAGTTAATGGGCAAGAACAGCCAAGTGATTTTGGAAAAAACAAACAACAACAACAAAAAAAACAGAATAGAAGGATTTTCTCATGTGTGTCATAATGCTTAGTACAAAGCAATTATAACTGAGACTGTATCATATTGACTGGGGACAGTGAAAAACTAAAAGGGACAGAATTCTAAGCCTAGAAACAGTGCCACTCTTAAACAGAAATTTCATATATGATAAATGGCATTTTTTTACTCGGTAATTTAAAAATCAGTCATTCAATAATTGATGTTAAATTATTGTTCAAAGTATGAACAAATACAATTATATTCATACATTATATGAAAGTCACAATCACATTGAAAATGTGATCATCGAAATGTAAGACAGGAAATCATTACACTGCTTTGTGACACAAACAGTAAAGAACATATGAGCTGTTGACTTGTCTAAGAAACACATGAATGAGCCACCTATGGGACGGACCTATCGGCAACATTGATGAGCAGCGGTCCAGCTCCTAGCTGAACCCTCCCTGTGTTTTTCGGGGCCACTGTGGGGAATTACAAAGGCTTTACTTGGCATCTGTACTAGGAAAGCTGTGCTTCCTACAGCAGCTTGGCTTCCAGCCAGTGCCTTGCAGTCTCAGAAGGGAGTTACATTCAAGGCCTCGGGCCCATCTGGCAGATCAGGCTTTGTGCATATTTGCAGTGAAGCACTTTCTTTCCTGGGTTCCTTTCTCTGAGACCTTGGGGTGGAGGCGCTCTGGGTCCTCTGCTGAGATCTCCTGATTGGGGGTAGGACACTTTCTCCACTGTGACTCAACGCCAGGTCCTTTTCTATTTTTACTTCTTCTTCCTCCCCACTCCCTTCTTTTCTCTCTCCCTTGAGCTCCTAAAGCTTCGGGAGACATTTTCTCGGAGGGGAGTTTCCTCAACAGGGACACAACTTCTGTGTGCGTGCTGCCCACTGGGCTCTCCACTGTGCAGGGGCAGAGAGCGCTTCCTCTGCATTTAGTCTCTTGCGTGCACTGAAGGCAGTAAGGAAATAAAGGCCTGACTCAAATTTTTGGCTGATTGCTTTAATGAGCTGCTCTGACACAGACAGTTCAGCCATATCTCTCTCTCCTAGCTCACTTGAGCTAGTTACAATAGCTAGTGATTGACTGTAATTGATAAACGTTTTACTTTTTCCAGTACAAAATATTTTTCAAGTCAATTTAAAAAAATTAGGAAATTGGAAAAGAACATACAAGGCTCACAGAAAGGGAAAGAAGGGTCTGTAAACACGCAAACATTTCTTACAGGTTTCTTAAAGATGTGTTCTAGTCCAGGCAGTGGGCAGAAAGCACAGGGGCGGGGCTGATCCGTCTTTTTTGTTCTCTTCAGATTCTCAGCAGACTGGGTGATGCCAGCATCTTGGCAGGACATATTCTCTAGAAACAATACAATAAATAAAATAATATAGTAATAATTCAAACAAAAAATCAACTACTTAAAATATTAAACTCAGATTTCCTAATATTTTTATTTAAGAAGTAAAAAACCTGCATATGAAAGCTAAAGCTGTGATTCTGTGATTTCCCTATAAAGATACATGTTAGATGCCAAATAAATTTTTTTTTTTGTACCGGGGACTGAATTCAGGACCTTGTGCTTGGGAGACAGGTGGCAGAACCACTTCGCTGAATCCCCAGCTCTATCCTAAATAAATATTAAACAAAATAAATTCAGTCATATAATAACCCTCCTAGTTTAAGCGTCTACAATGGAAATATACTAGGCAGTCTTCATTGTATTACAAAATTTATTCATTTATTCCTATGATGAATTCATCCACAGTCAAAAATTTATAATGATATTACTAAAAATAAGATCAAACTTCCAACAAATTCAGTACCCATTCCTGTTAAAGGACTAGGCACAATGTAATAAACAGGTATTTTATTTACATGTTAATATTTATTCCCACTTTCGGTATTTGCAAAGTACTTGGTCGTAGTCTAGCTGTCTTACCAAGAACTAGAAAAGCTAGATAACAATATAAATACATCAAATAACTACATAGGAGCTAACATGTCACAGGGAGAGGAAATATACCATGGTGAGCTTGACATCATGAGATGTTTTCTTTCCTAGGCATTTGTCAATTTATAAATGGCACAACCTTGTAGAAAACAAGAGCTGCAATGATAATAAACTGAAGTTAGCAGCCCTCGGTCTTATATGCCCACAGAGATGAAACTTAGTCTGAGACTGTAAAGGCACTGAGAGTTAAGAATCCTAGATCATCAAAGAAACTGCAGTTTTCTGGGGTTTTTTTTGTTTTGTTTTTTTTGTTTTTTTTTTTGGTATGGGGGATTGAACTCGGGTCCTTGCGCTTGCAAGGCAGGCCACCGAACTGCTGAGCTAAATCCCCGGCCCAAAACTGCAGTTTTCTAAAAGCATTCACTTATCTATAGTCAGGAGAAGCTAGAAGATTAATAGGTGAAGCTGAAAGAGTCTCATAATCTTCTCATAGGGCTCAGACAGCAAAAACTGGAATCCTGCTTCTAAAGAAAAATGGCCTATGTTTAAAAAATGTATAAATTCCACTTTTGTTCTCTGAGGGATTCAAACCAGGGGTGAAGACCAATGAGAAACAGCTCAGCCATAAGGAGGAGTACCCACTGCCAAACAGCTGCTACCAGTGACAGCTGAAGAAATGTAATATAAATTTCCAAAGCCCCTTCTACCCCACTGCATGTGAAACTATACACCATGTTTGCATAAATTGAGATTACTTTGAGTCCTGTGCATTCAAATCTGTAGCTATTTTTCAATACATGAGAATCTTGTTATTTTTCAGTTTTTTCTCCTTCCTTCTGCCTGTTTTAGGGCTAAAGAAATTACCAACGACAAGGAACAAGTGTCACTCTAATGACCATATTTTGACTTGTGCAATGGAATGAGTGATAAAATTAATGTTATGACGGGATTTGTTTTCTCTTCCAAGAGATCCCGGGGTCTTAGAAAAATCAGTGCTCTGTTCTTCATCAAAAAGCATCAGGGAAATTTATGGTCCTGTACATCACCAGATACTTTCTCTTTCTGTTTAAAAAATAAATCTGTCATGAACCAAGGTATCCCAAAAAACTTTATGTGCTAGAGATGTCAAAATCAGAACTCATCATCTTGGGCTACAAGTGAGTGTTGTCACCTCAACCCTATTGCGAGTGTGTTGTCCCCAGCCCAGGTGAATCCATCTGAATTTCCTTTGTGCTGCACCCACACACTCTGCATGGAGGCTGCAAAACGTCCTTCATGGACAAGAGGAAATGGAAGGCATGTACTTTATTGAAATAAAGCAGAGCACAACTCCTTCCATCTGCTCCAGAGAAGGAAGGAAGAAATGTTTACCCCATAGTCTCAAGCCAGCCAGGGATTCCACAATAAACCATGTCTGCCATCCAGGACAGAGACAGGTCAACTCACAAGTCTCATAAAATGGAAATTAGCATTTGCAATAGTGAAGAATAGATTTCTAAAAAAAATACTGTTTAAATATTTTAGATAAAAAAAAAAACACTGGAAAAGGCTTGCTGATGGCTAAAATGCATGCTCTATGCAACTTGTATTTCCCATTTCCACCTTTGGCCGTTGCTGCATAAACTGCCAGTGTTATTCATGTATCTCAGGCTGTTACTCCTGGCCTTTACTAAATATGGGAAGACCAGAGAAATAGGTCCTTAAAAGAAACTGCTAGGGGGTGTGCAGTTTTGTCTTTCCCTTTCTCCACCTTAACGTGCTTCAGGACTTCACAGAGGAGTGTGTGCAAAGAGCTGGCTTCACTGAATGCTTACGAAGTGAGCTGTAGAACCAACACGTACTTTCTCACACTCTTGGGAAATATTTACCATAGTAAAGAGCCCCCCTAGCATGTCAGCTGAAATTGGTCAGCTGAAATTTTCAGTGTTTCACTGTGACTGTGACTTTTCTTCCTAAACCATGTCACACAATTATTGCACAAGAACATTTTAAAGTTATTTGGGTGTATTCCTCACACGAGTGTATTTCATATCCAAAAGCTATAGCTGGAAGAGACGTGTGTAGACAGAGTCAGAAGTTTTATATCTATTACCTTCACATAAAGACTAAAATTTAATCTGTGTACCCAAAAGTTATTTGTACCCCATGTCTCATAAAGGCACGGGGTGCTGAGGATGTAGCTCTGATTCTCAGTGATGGAAAAAACAAAACAAAACAAAAAAAAAACCAGAAGTTTTCACCTCTCAACACTATCCCCTTGAAGGTCAAGATTCCAACATGGGGATTTGGGTGGACATATTCAAGCACAGCATACCACAGCTTTAGTCTTTCTGATTCAACCAAATACGTTTCTTAGTTTCAATCATTTTTCTAAGTTTGTTGATCTGCACGGTAAGTTTAAATCTTACAATAAATTCCCACTCCTAGACCCGGACTGGCCCTTGAACTCAGTTGAGAACTGACTGCTAACCCACCCGAACAGTCTGTTTGGATGAAATATTTCTCCGTGTAGAAAAAAAAAGCTTGAAGTTTTCTCCAAGTGAGGTGTTGTGATACTGTAGGTAGTAAGACAGGTGATATCTGTGCTGAATGTCAAAATAATTTTGACACGTGATGTCCAGTTTTGAAAACTAGCCCCCCTTTCTCTAGTCCCTCATACACTATCTCCCACTTTCAAATATCCCCTATCGTACTTTTTTGGTAACTTTAACACTAGTCAGAATTTTCCTCTTTCTTTCATCATCTGCTATTACAAGTAAATGACTCACCAGAAAGTCTGACGTCATCATTTCGCAAGCTTCATTTTTGTTTTTGTCTTTTCTGTTTGTTTGGGGGGGGGTGTTTTGGTACCTGGAATTGAACTCGGGATCTTGCACTCGTGAGGCAGGAGGGGGCACTGCTGAGCTAAATCCCCAGCCCAGGAGCTCTGTATTTCCGAGCCATTTAGTCGGTTGTTCCACTTTGAAGTTTCGACATCAAGGCTGATTCGCCGCCATCTAATCTTTTCTTCCTGCTCTAATCTTTCTGTTATTAAAAGTCACTGATCCTCACCGTTTAATTTCTGTTTTCCATACACTTTCTATATTATTTTTCTAAATTAATCATTTTTTGTCTTCTCTTACCTGTTTGGCCTAAACTCGGGCGCACACATTTCAGTGCTATACTCCATCTTAATGTCTTCGAGTCTGTAGATTTACTAACCTTCTACTAACTTACAAATCCATCCAGAAACATTGATAACTCACACTGTCACTTCTTTTCCCCAGGATACACAATGTTGCTAATGGCCCAAGATGGTGCTTTTTGGGTTATTCAGAATTCCTTTAATTTTCGTTTCAATTTCAAAACGTCTTTCATGTGTTCCTTGTTGAATCACAGTCTCCAGAGACCTTAAACCTTTTTGTTTCCTCCTCTCCATTCTCCCAGTTCTACTCTGGCCCTTTGGAAGCTGTCTTGCATTTAATGTCTGTGGTCCCTCACTAATGAACTGAGACTGTTCATGGCCGGAATATCCTCATGGTATACTTCTTCTTCTCTGCCTCTCTTCTCCAGAAGAGAGAAATCAGAATTTTGATAGAGATGAGAAGAGCAAGACAAGTACTTGTTTGTTTGAAGGCCTCCCCAGGACAGCAGGCACCTTCAGTGCACTGCTCAGAGCTATAACTTCCACAAGTATTGAGATTTTTTTTCAACAGCGAATTACTGTACCTTTGTAAGAGAGCTCCCCTCAGACTTTTCTGGGGAGGACAGCAAGCCAAACGTGCCTACATGTTGTTCATCCCTAGTGACAGACTTTAACAATAACACCGGTGTGAGCATGTACCAAGTATTTTATAATAGAAGGTGAATATTAAATTAATTTATTACAGTAAAAGACACATTGCCACGGATCCCTCTCAAAACACCTCCCTCATTTTGAATGAACTTATCCCATCAAATGTGCCGCTTTCCGAAGCAGTTCCGGAAGCCTCCTCTCCGGAGGGATTTTGTGAAGTGTGTGGACAAATATGACTCATGATGCTGCTAAGGGGCAGCCAGTGATCTCGCAGAAACATTACAGTGCGTCTTCATCTGCCTTGCTCACCAGAACTGGAATGGGATGTTTCTGTTCCTTCCCAATTCAGGACACTGAGGCAGCCATAGCAGTGAAACAACCAAAGACACCCAGGAAAGGGAACTTGCAGAACTGCTTCAGAAAGTGGCAAGAAAGATGGGGTAAGCATGCTCTGAAGTATAGGAGAGCGTCTTGAGCAGGGTTACATTCATCATATTCTTCAGTCACACCATATGTGTCCCGGTTGTCAGCATTCCGTTGATGAAATTCATTGACCTGTGCTTTGCACTGATTTCCTGAGTTGCCCATGGGATTAGTTTACTTTGCCCATTAGGGGAGGTTATCTATCAGCAT